CTTGATGTCTCATGCATCTCACTTTTGTCTGTGTAAACATTTCAAAGGTTTATGCTAAAGAGATATTATGAAGACAGATTTATCTAAATGTATTATAGAGTAGACTGTGGTTTGGGAATTCTACTTCTCACACCTGTATTTTCTCTTATATTAACATTCTCCATTCTTTTTTAGCCTTGTTATTCTCTCAAACTGAGGGTGGAGATTTTAAAGATGTCTAGGATTTTTAGGTTTTATAGTAACAGTTGAGCTTTCTTAAACATACTTTTTTCATGCTTTGTGAATCTTACTTGTCTGAGGTTCAGTCAGTCCTCTCTCAACAGATTCCATCTTAATTTATCTTTTTTTTTTTTCCTCCCTTTGACTCCTAGGAAGATAGTTTGGTCTAGAGACCTAAGTTTTAGTCCAGGCTGTAACACTAACTAGTTCTATGACTTTTGCCTCATATTCCTTATCTGTAAAATGAGGGAGTTGAACTATAAAATCTTCCACGTCTAAATCCTATATTCATCAGTCCTGGGAAAGAAATAACCACTTCAAAATTAAATGTGTTGTGGGGGGAGGGGATGATTAAAAAAAAAGATGAGAATCAACGTCTTTAGAGAACTGTAATAATTTTGTCACTAAGCCAACCAAATCCAACCAAACTGGAAAAGCTTTGTGTTATCAGGTAATGTCAAATAACATTCAGCATTGTATTGATCTTTTCATCTTCCAAATCTATTATAGACATTAGCTCATTAATCTTTAAACCACCTTTCCTGAGGCTAGTGAGGTGTTGAGGATTACTTCCCAAGTTTGACTAATGGGAGAGACTAAGGCAGGGAGGGATTATGTAATTTTCACAAGGGTCTCTGGTTGTGTAAGGGTCCCATTTATTCTTGTTGAAGATAGAGCAAGAGTACTCTATACCATTTAGGACATTCAGGAAAGGAGTTTTGGAGTTTGCTATCATGGTCAGGAAGATCAGACTTTCATTTGATCTCCACTCTTGATACTCACTTCAGATATCTGTTATACCCACCACCCATATTAGGCACTGTGGTACATTGATAAGAGCCTAGAACTTAAGCCACAGAACCTGAGTTTGAATCCTGGCTGTACCATAGGCTGTGACCCTATGGACCTCAGTTTCCTTATGTGTAAAATGCAAGGATTGGATGTATAGATGTACTATCAGGACCCTTTCAGCTCCAAATCTATGATTCCATGACCCCCTCCTGTAAGGTATACACATGGACCATCTGCAACTAAGAAGTGAACAGAGAAGAACTGAGAAACAATCTTAATTTCTGTATTCTACAGGAAAAGGTATTGTAACTGTGCCCTAGAAATGCATTCCTTAACATGTTTCTGACTAAACAAACTCAAGGGGGTAAATTCCCTTTAATTTAGGCATGTAATAATGATCTTTCATTAAACTACTACTCCTTTCTATGCTTCACCATGTCATAGAAATGATTCTTGGTCCTCCAAAGCTATTCCAATAGAATAAAAGCTGGAACAAGTACAACTAAGCTGGAAAGGTGTTGGCCTGCTGTGTCTTATTAGAGTACTTAGAGCCTAGACAAGTTTGGAGAGGTTTATCAAAAGAAGGTTGGCCCCCAGGTAGTGGATAGTTTTGTTATTTTTATTTATTTTTTGTTTCTTTGCTTGCTGTCGCAAATCATGAAGGTACACGAAAAAGAAGGAGAGGGAAGATGGTTTCTGGGATCATCCTGAAGAAGTTTATCTACAACAATGAATCCATAAGTGCTAAAGAAGTAGAACTATATTAATAGCAAAGATGACTTTTAAACAAAAAGGCTGTCCTATCATTCTTGCAAGAAATTGAATTTTTTATCGTTAAAAATTATAACAATGTACTATTTCTTAAAGGAGTGTCAAATAAATCAGATAGAAATTGGGGGGGCCAAGCTTTACATCTGAAGGCAGCTTTTTTTTTTTTTTTACTCTAATGAAAAAGGAAGAAAAAAGACCTGGGAAAGGCTGGTTCAGAGTATTGTACAATTCAGATGCTAGGCCTTTTGGTAAAAAAGAAATCACAGCTTTTGATCAAGTACCCTTGGAAGTGGTTTCCTTCCTCTCCTCATTTATTCACTTAACTTTATTAACTTGAGAAATTTTAAATGAACTGTTTACTTCGCTGCTGGAAAGCTTCACAAGTTAACCCTGATCTTTCCTTAAGGGTCAAGGGAATTTCCCCATCACTTCCTCCAGGTATGCAGAAGCGGTCAACCCTGCCTAAAAGGGGCTCCTCCCGAGGGTCAGATGAATTCTAAGAAAGGAAAAGAAGTGGGTAAAGACCAAGTCGGAGCTGGGAAAGGATGGGGGTGGGGATGGGCGGAAGAGAAAGAAATGGTGATGGAAGAGACTGGTTGGAAGGCATTCAAGGGCCCCCAGGAGTCCTTCGATGCCCTTTTTATTCTTCGCCCACTCACAAAACACTCTGGCTACTCTATGGCAGAGAAAGAGTCAAGTGCAAAGAAAAATACAAGAAAGACGCCACAAATATGAAGTGTGGCCTGCTAGTACAGCCAGATACCTAAGAGCCTGACGGGGAGGTGGGGGGGGGGAAGAGAGCATGAGAGGGGGCGAGAGAGACAGAGGAGCAGCTGTTGGGTTTTTTTGCAGCGTGCACAGGGAGGGCGCCCGTCTCGAGTGAGTCACACACACATGCGCGCGCGCATACACACACACACACACACACACACACACACACAC